CTTTCCTTTCCTTTCCTTTCCTTTCCTTTCCTTTCCTTTCCTTTCCTTTCCTTTCCTTTCCTTTCCTTTCCTTTCCTTTCCTCTCCTTTCCTTTCCTTTCTCTCTCCCTTTTCTTTCTACCCCCAAACATCAAACGTGTGGGGTGGGAGCTTAAAGCTTAAGCTGCATTCGGGCGGGATTTGGAGCACAGTCTGGAAGCAGCGGCGTAGCTCTTGGATTTCGTTGCACGGAGGCCACCGAGTCCCGGGGGGTTCTCGGCCCTGGAGCTCGGAGACTCCGCCAGCTCACCCGCTGGGATCCCCTGCAGGCCCCGGGTTCCCAGAATTACGGGCGGGAAAACGCGTCTCGCCAAGGGGAGCGCGTGTTAGGCAGAGGGTCTGACCGAAGGCAGCTCCGATAAATGAGGCTTCTCGTTCCGGGAGGGGGTGTGATGAACGCTGCCTCCAAGCGGGGTGCTAGAGCCGAAGGAACAGACGCCAGGGCCCCAATCCTGCCTCGTCTGCTTTGCGCGCGACCTCTCGGTGCCTGGGACACTGCTCAGCCACTGAGCCACGCCGGCCAGGGCTCTTCTATTATTTTAATACCAAATTCGAACCGAATGCTCGACGCAGAGCCCAGGATCTAAGCACAAACATTTGCGAAGGTTTTGCGTGGTTGCTGTTTTAAAATTCCACCTCTGAAAGCTCGAGGAGACCCTCTGGGCAAGAACGTCAGCGTGGACGTAAATATTCCCTGAGCAGTGTCTCGGAATTTTCCGGAGACTTTGCTGGGGAACGTCACTCATGTGAACTATTCTCTTTGTTCAAGGGAATTTAATAATCGCGCACAATTACAGTCCAGCTAACCTGCCTTCCAAATTTTAATTAAAACTAATTAAGTTTAAAAGTTCACGACCTGAAACCACTGCCAGGTCGTTTCTAATTCGGGACGAGTCTTCTGAACCCTTATTGAATCCTGTTATGAAAAGGTGGCCTGGTGACAACCTGTGCCTGGGGGAGGGCTCCTCTGTCTTTGGGGATGACCTGCTTGTTGGATAATTAAGACCCCCCCCCC